GGACCACACCCCAGAAATCATCCGAACAAGTGTCAAAAGAGTGGCGAAACAGTGGCGAAACAGTGTCGGGCGAGGAGTGTCTCCCAGGTCCCGACACGCGAAAACCTTCGAATTTAGATACTTTTTCTGATGCTCGAAATTCTCTCCGGTGATCAAGGCTAAAGTTGGTTGGAACATCATAACCCTCGGGAACCGGTTGTGTGCCCATCGCGTCGCTTGCCCAGATCGTGAAGACCACGCGCTCCTGCCACTGCGTTAGATCCATCTAGAGCTGCACCTGCTCGGACTCCGCATCTGCACTCGCGAGTCTCGCGGCCACGACTGGGGAGCCCCGGATCGCAGGCCACGTTGTCCGACTGTAGAGCTTCGGCGTGGATCCGCGCGCGGCGATCTTCCGCGCTAGGGCATGGAGGGGGTCACGGATACCATCAGGTCAGGCATGTCCCCCGACAGGCGGATTGTGGACGAAAAATGAAAGATACCCCAAACATGTTCCCAAATAATCAATAAAAAACAGAAAGATCGTCCCAAAACTATCTGTCACCAACTTTTGAATACTCCTCCTGTCGAGGGACACGCCCGACTCAAGGACACCGCGACATCGACGGCCATCGTGCTGCCAGAGAGGGAGAGAGCGAAAACAAATGGGGACGGAGGGGCTCCCTCCCGGCCACCGCGGGCCCTGGCCACGAGCAGGTGCCTCGCCACAGACCTGAGGCACGGCACGACGACCAGAGCCCCCCCCCCCCCCGAGCCCAAAGCGACGCTCGCGCTAACGGTCACGGCAGCTGTGCTCGTCGTCCCCGGCTTCCGTGTGCACTGCCTCCCTCACGTCGGCGGTGCGCCCCGGGGAAGGCGGAGGAGGCCAAGCATACCAAGGGGTCGGAAGAAGTAGGTAGAACCATAAAGTAGGAAAGTGTGTTGGAAGTAGATTGGGTGTCCGTCCTCCTCCTCCTCCTCCTCATCCTCCTCTTTGTCTTCCTCCTCATCGTAGGCCTTCCTCCTCCTCCTCCTCCTTCCTCCTCCTTCCTCCTCCTCCTCCTCCTCCCCTCCTCCTCCTATCCTCCTCCTCCTCCTCCTCCTCCTCCTCCTCCTCCTCCTCACTCCTCCTGCTCTCTCCTTCCCCTCCTCCTCCCTCTCTCCTTCCTCCCCCTCTCTTCCCGCCTATTCCCCCTCTCTCTCCTCCCCCTTACACTCCTCCCCCAGACGAAGGATGGGGTTCCTCCCTCCCCCATCATCCTGGTCCCCGCTGTACCTAATCAGTAAATAATGCAATTCATCGTTCCTCCCTCTCATCCTCTCCTTCTCACCCTCCTCCCTTTCCTATCCCCCTCCCCGCCCCATTCTCCCCCTCCCCCATCGCTCCCCCTCCTTCCCTTCCTCCCGCCTCCTCGTTCCTCCTCCTCTCCTTCTCCTCCTCCTCCGCACCTCACTCCTCCTCCTTCTCCTCCTCCTCTCCCTCCTCTCCTCCTCCTCCTCCTACATCCTCCCCTCCTCTTACTCATCCCTCCTCCTCCTCATCCTCCTCCTCCTCCTTCTCCTCCTCCTCCTCCTCCTCCTCCTCCTCCTCCCCCCTCCTTCTCACCTCTCTCCCCAGATACTGTGCAAGCGGGGCGCTACTTCTCCCGCATACTTGTCGCACACAAGTCTGAATGCCTGTGTGTCATGTGTTCCTATCGGAGTGTTTGTGTTGTGCCACGAATTTCTCGAAGGAGAATTGGCATCGTCTCCAGATCGGCGCATTGCCCCCGTCGTTCAGGATGGCGTTCTCGCCCCACGCGAGAGCCATACGTCTGGATCCGGCATTCCTCGTCGTTGTCGCCCGCATCCTGTCCCATCCTGCACGTGTTCCTGGTCCTTCCTGCTCCTCCCACTGGCTCCTGCTCCTGATGCTGCTGCTCCTGCTTCTGTTCCTGCTCTGGCTCGTGCTCATGCTGCACCTGCTCAGGCACCGCACGTGAGCTTTTTCTGACGCGGCGTTTCGACATTGGGCGGAAAGGGAGAGGGGAGGTGTCTGGCTCTGGACCTCTGCTTCATGCGACTGTTTGCAGCAGTGCGTCCCATGGAGGAGCCTCCATCTGCTCGAAACAGGTGCCAAAAACAGCCAAGATTGCGAGGGCCTACGCCGATCGGTAAAACAATGAATAAGAAAACGATCACCATCCTCCTCCTGCTTATACCGGTGCTGCCTTCTCCTCCTCATCCTCATCCTTCTTCTCATTCTCCACCTCCTCATCCGCCTCCTCCACCTCCTTCCTCATCCTTCTCCTCCTTCCTCATCCTTCTCCTCTTCCCCCTACCAATTCTCATGCGCATCAGCCGCCGCTTCCTGCAATGTACAGAGCTACCCTTGCGCATCACACGATGAGGTCATTTTGGAAACGCAGGTCCGCTAGACCACCCATCGGCGTTGGAACGAGGTGGGGGGTCATGGACGACGTCAATTACGCGCCAGAGAAGAACTACAATCTCAAAGGTAGCGGTGTGGTATCAGTGTACGCAGCACCCCATAATTGCGGATAAGAGCGAGGGGGCAGGCGCGGGGTGGGTCGCGGGTGAGTCGCGGATGGGTCGCCGAGTGGGTCGCGGGCCGGGTGGCGGGTCGCGGGTGGGTCGCGGAGGGGGCGACGACGACACCAACAGACGACAAACAGGCAGAATCCCGGCCACAAAATCCCACTTCACACACGCATCCATAGAAGAAGAAAAAACGGCGTAAGCACAAACATTTGGCGATCCGCGCGGATTTCTTGGATCTGCGCTGGACCCACCTCCCGGGCGCGCCAGGGGCGGCACTGGAGGCGCCGCCAGGGGGGCCCAGTGCGGATCCAAGAGATCCGCGCGGAGCGCCACAAGTTTATACGCATGGCGTTTCCCTTCTTCGAATCCAAGGATGGCGTAAGACATTTGGAGGTCGGAAATGGGTGTGGCACAGAGGGGTATGGTGCCAAATCGTGGAAATGGCGACGCTGTCTGCAAAAAATAGCACCGCCAGAGTCGCTTCTGCCCAAAGTTGGCACCACACCCCTTTGCACTGCCCGAAGACCCTCTAGCCCCTCCACCCCCCCTCCGGGCCCCGCAGCCGCCCCCCCGCGGCCGCCCCCCCGCGGCCGCCCCCCCGCGGCCTCCCGGTGCTCCCGCGAGGCGTCCTCGGCCCGGCGGGCCGCCTCCGCCTGGGCGGGGCGAAGCGGCGCCGGCGCGGGCGTGGCGCGGCGGCGGGCCCGCGCGGGCCGGCGGCCACGGCGCACGAGGGGGTCCTGGGGCCAGCGGTCGCCACGGAGCGAGGGGGGCGCACCCGGGGGCCTCTCAAGGGCCATCTTGTCGATGGTCCACAGGTGTGGATGCCATGACAATGGACTATGTGTTTCGAATGTGTAGAGCATGTTCTAGACATGTTTCCAACATGTTTTTAACGTATTGAACACATGTCTGGAACATGCTGTAGACATCTGGAAATGATTTGGCAACATGCTTCCTCTCCATTGATCGTCCCCCACAAGTCCACAGAGCGTGTGCTGGGGCCAAGGAGCGCCTGTCCACCGAGACTTCCACACGCGAGGCAGGCGGCGCAGGGCGGCCCGACAGTGGCTGCGCGCTGTCGGCAGCGCTGGGCATGGTAACACACATTCTGGGCTAGCACACGTGCACGGTTTCCCCCGGGGCAGTAGGCGACCCGAGGGAGGAGGAGGAGGAGGAGAAGGATGAGGAGGAGCAGGAGGAGGAAGAGGAGGAGGAGGAGCAGGAGGAGTGAACGTCCCCTGAGAAGAGTCCCAGTCACTTACCCGACTCGCAATCGCTGAATGGCGACTGCTCGAAATCGTGCGGCAGCCGAGACCGAAGTAAAATCGTGAGGAGGAGCGCCGATCTCTCCCTTCATGGCGTGATATATGTAGAAGGCGAGAGAGAGGAGGAGGAGGAGGAGGAGGAGGAGGAGGAGGAGGAGGAGGAGGAGGCGGAGGAGGAGGAGGAGGAGGAGGAGGAGGAGGAGGTGGAGGAGAACGTGCCCGGTCAGAGAATACACAGCGGCCCGCCACCATACTGACCAGTCTAGCAGTGCTTGTCTGGTCCCCTTCGTGGCCCCCCATAAAAAATAATCCCCAATGAAAAGACATAGACACATCGATAATGACACACATAGAACCATACTGTGGTTCAAATAGGAATATTCTCATAACATACATCATAACGAAATCCTTAGAACTGTATAAGTGCGACCTACCATCGTTCACAATCTTATTAATACGTACAACGAACTGAACACAAATCTCGCAGCGCTCCATCCACGCGCGGCCTGGCTGCGCACGGGTGCGCCCGCCCGCCCGCCAACGAACAGCAGCGACGGGCGCGCCGCACCCAAGGCCCGTTCCCAGTCGCCCCCCCGCTCCCGACTGCTGCAGCTCACGAGGGGCACAGCGGCTGCCGTCGGGGCCTTTCTCTCGGGGCCTCTCGGGCTCTGCTCGGGCCCCCGCGCGGCGGCAAGCGCTCGAACGCCCGTGCCCCCGTTGTGGTGGACACGGATTGTGCTGTTCCACTCGTACTTCAGAACCACATCCCAGAAAGAGTTTCGAGCACCCAGAAAATATCGAAACAGTGTCGAAACGAGCATCGCCTGACAGGGCCCGACACCTGAAAACCCTCTGGTTTCGGTACTTTCCTGGTGCTCGAAACGATTGCTGGTGATCAAGGCTAAAATAGGTTGGAGAATCATAAGACATGGAACTGTCGACGCGTCGGTAAAACGGAGCCCGGAGCGGGACAAGGTCGGGTCGGGACAGATCGAAGATCTCTGAGAGCTGGCTGCGCCGCAGCCGCTGCAAAGCGTTCCGGGACGCTCTGAGAGCATGGCGGAACGCTCCGGAGAGATACATCCCAATCCTAGGGCTGAGTGAGTCGGCCTTCCTAACCCGCCCACCTGGTAGATCCCTTTCCCGGCCACCCCGACGCCTGTGGCCGGGAAGGGGAGGTGCAAGCAAGCGTGGGGAAGGGGGAGGTACAGATATGTACAGGTCCGCGGGAACAAGTGGCTCACAAAGATCAGAGCGGCAACGATTCATACAGAAGCTGTTCCGCCGCGGCGGCATGGGCACGATCGTCCGTGGTCAATTCCCTCTGTGGAGGCCATGGGGGAGGGGGCGGGCGGTGTTTAGCAACCATGGCCTCTCTTTACAGGCGTTAGCGGGACCTGCGTAAGCAAACTAAACTAGCGCGATCGAGACCCCTGCGAGTGAACGTGGATACAGAGGCCCCAGATTGAGGGCCTGCCTGCGATTTTGTTGTGTTCGCTTCGCATGCTGCAATAACGGCAAGGCTGCAGTGGCGCGAACAAGTGGACAGCGGCTTCGGCAAGCTGCGGTCTTGCTGTGATATATTAGAGCCCAACTTCGGTTCTACAGCGGCTGCCAGAAAAGATCTGACTAAAATAGGCGTGAAGGCCAGTGGCTGCGGCAAACTTGCAAATGCACCCACCAACAAGATGCGAACAGGACGGAATGCGTCGCGCCAGAAGACAATCCTGATCCGAGCGGGAGAGGCCACGAATGGCGCCCGAGCCTCATCCAGCTCGCTCCCAACCTTCCTTACTTGAAAATAATCCGTTTCCGTACCCCAGCCTTGAGCATCACCTGATATGCTTCGTTACCCCCCTCCCTGGCCACCCCGCCTTTCGCCGCGCGTGCCACCCGCTCTCACTGCCAGCGCCGCTCCAATCAAACGCAGCACGGTCAATTGTGAAAACAACATCATGTGACTGCACGCTTTGGCTCGTGCGCAATTCAACAGCAACACTGCAAAACTATTTGTCATGGAGACAGCCCCCGCTGCAACCACATCGGCTCCGACTACTGCCAGAGCGCATGGTTCCGCTCGGCCCCGGCCCTCCTCTTCAAGCCCGCTGCGACCGCGTCCAGCCGTGTCGTCCCGTTGCCGAGAGTCGGCAGGAGCCAACCGCCCTCAGTGTTCTCGTTCCAGGCGTACAGGAGCGCGACCCCGGGCTCCTCCTCGGCGGCCGCGGCGGCCGCGTCCTCGACGAGCCGCGCCAGCTCGGCCGCCGTCGGCTCCAGGAAGTGCTCCGGCCCTTCCTTGACCCAAACCGGCTCGTGGTCCGCGCGCGGGCGCGGGTCCCAGCCGGTCGGCACCGGGACCACCTGCTCCAAGCCGGCCGCCCGGGCCTGGCCCCAGAACTCGCGGGCCTCCGCCGCCTGCGCCGCGAAGGCCGTGCCGCCGACCGTGCCGCCGGGCAGGGCGTAGGCCGACACGGCGTCGAAGCCGAGCCCAGCCCTTGCCTCCTCGGCGACGTGCAGGTTGGCGGCGCCGACGCACATGGCGACGAAATACGGGTTCCCGGACCCCTGTGCGATGCTCTCGCGCCGGAAGGCGTCCCACTGCTCGCGCCACTTGGCCCAGCCGCCCATGTGGTCGGCCTGCTGGCGGCCCACGTTGAAGAGGAAGACGAGGGGCCTGTCGCCCACGCGCTGGAAGCTGGGGTCCGCGAAGAGCTCCAGGTACCGGGGCCGCAGCTGCGGCGTGGCGGGCGACGAGCCGAGCAGCACAAGGGAGAAGTTCATGAGGTGCTTCACGGACGAGTTGCGGTGCAGCCTGAGCCCGTAGGCCGGGTCCGTCGCCTTGTAGCCGACCGACTCCGTGTCCCACCAGAACTGGCATTCGGGGATGTGCGCGTCCGTCGGCCAGACGCAGTACGTGTCGTAGGCCCAGAAGGAGAGCCCCGCGGCGTGCGCGAGCTGGAGCTCCTGATCCATGATGCTCTGCCGGTCGGCGTTGAACGAGATCTTGGTCTCGTTCGCAGGGTCGACCGTGGCGTACCAAGGGAGGCGCCAGTGGTACTTGACCGGGGCCATCGTCTGCGCCACGGTCGATGAGACCACGTCCCCAGCGAGCCCGTTCCATGCATCCCAGCGGATGGCCCCGAACACGGCGCGCGCTGACACGGTGCGGGATGGTGCCCCAGTCACGACCGGCCTCGCGCTGCCGTTACGCTGGGTGTATACAAGCAGCCCTGCGAGTGAGAATGCTGCGCCTAGGCCCAGCACAGCGCGCATCGCCACAGCAAGTTGAGCCAAGCTTGAGCCAAAATGGCTACGGAGATTCAGGGCCTGCCTGCGTTGAGCCAGAGGCCGTCTCTGACGCGTGTGAGCGACGCGTCAGCTGGGAGTCTTGGATGGCGGAAAGAGGAAGGCGGGAAGGGGGCAAGGGGGGGGAAAAAAAACTACCGAGACGCTCTCCAGGTGCGTTCCGCAGGCGAATCCGGCCGTGGCGACGAAGAACAACATCAGCATCAACATCGCCATCATCATTATCCGGGTGGGGCCACCAGGCTGCGCGGACAAGGTTCCCTGCACCCTGCACTACTTGCAGTTTCCAGTCTCCAATGTTATAATTCGACTCTTCGCGTCCAGCTGTAAATCGTTGCTGTCCGCACGAAGGGGGGAACCGAAAACGGACACTTTACCACCCGTCCCCCCCCCCCAGGGTTTTCAGAATGCCGTGGGGGCCCGGGCACACGTAAAAATGCATGACATTCGCGCCCTCGAGGCCGAAATCCCGCGCAGGCTGCCAACGATTCGCGCCAACGGAGGCCAGAAGCCTTTGTGAACGAGTCGCGCTCCCGAGACCAGCATCCCCTGCAAAGTGCCCCAGATCGGCGTTCCCGAGGCCAGAATCCCTCATAGATTGCACCAGATTCGCGATCCCGAAAACAGAATCATTAGCAGATTACGCCAAACCCGCGATCCCGAAACCAGAATCCTCAGCAGCTCGCACCAGATATCGCGCACCGAGGCCACGATCCCTTGTCAGTTACGTGGGACTCACGCTCCCGAGGCCACGATCCCGTATCAATTACACGAGGTGCGCTCCCCCGACGCCACGATCCCTTGCAAATTCGGCTGGATTCGAGCCTCAGAGGCCAGAATCCCTCACAGGGTACGCGGAATTCGCGCCCCCGAGGCGACGATCCCTAGAAAATTACGCCTGGTTCACGTCCCCGAGCCCACGATCCAGGGTAAATGACGTTATAGCTACCAATCGTCCTCGCATGAGGTTCCGATATTGCTTCAAGTCGGCACCCAAGCATCCCAATTTTGCCCCGGCACATGGCAGATCCCATTAAGATGGAGAGGGAGCCAGCGGAGAGGGTCGTCATCATCATCATCATCATCATCATCATCATCATCATCATCATCATCATCAACAACATCATCATCATCATCATCATCATCATCATCATCATCATCATCATCATAATCAGCATCAACATCATCATCATTATCATCATCATAATCAGCATCATCACCACCATCATCATCACCATCATCAGCAGCATCATCATAGTCGTCGCCGTCGTCGGAATCGGCATCGTCATCATCACAATCGTCCGCATCATCATCGTCATCAGCATCAGCATCACAATCATCATCATGATCATCATCCTCGTCATCATCACCAACGTCGTCATCATCATCACATCATCATTAACATCGCAGCATCATCGTCAGCATCATCAGACTCATCAGCATCAACTACGACAACAATAATGTCAGCATCATCATCATCAAAATGTTCGTCGACATCGTCATCGTCATTGTCAGCATCATCATCGTCATAGACATGGTCATCATCACCACCAACATCACCAGCAGCATCATCATTACCATCGCCATCGGCATCACAATCAGCATCGTCACCAGCATCATCAGCATCGCCATCCTATCGTCATCGTCACCCACATCATCATCATCAGCATCGTCAGCATCTGCATCATGATCAGGATCGTCGTCATCGTCAGCATCATCATCATAATCAGCATCAGCATCATGATCATACACATCGCCCACATCATCCACGTCACCCACATATCCACAGCATCATCATAATCATCCACATCGTCCACATCATCCACATCACCCACATCATCCGCAGCAGCATCATCATCATCACCATCAGCAGCATCATCGGCATCATCAGCAGCATCGTCATCAGCATCACGATCAGCCTCACCAGCACCAGCACCATCATCATCATAAACATCGTCGTAAGGATCACACTGATCAGCACAATACTCCACATCATCATCATCATCATCATCATCATCATCAGCATCATCATCATCAGCATCATCATCAGCAGCATCATCATCATCAGCATCATCATCATAGTCGTCGTCGACAGTATCAGCATCAACATCATCACCAGCATCGGCATACTCGTCATCAGCGACAGAATCCTCAACAGCATCAGCATCATCAGCATCATCAGCATCATCAGCATTAGCATCATCAGCAGTATCATTAGTATAGTCACAATCATCAGCATGAAGATCATCATTGTCGTCATCATTGTCGTCATTCGTCGTCATCATCGTCATCGTCATCCACACCATCCACATCATGATCAGCATCATCGGCATCATCAGGATCATCGTCGTCGTCATCATCGTCATCGCCGTCATCGAATCGTCATCAGTGTCGTCATCCGCATAATCGTCGTGGTTGTCGTCGTCTTCGCAATCATCCTCATAAGCATCATAAGCAGCATCATCACCATCATCAGCCTAACCTCCTCCTTATCCTGATCAGTGCGATTAAACGCAGAACAACATCATCACCAGATTCAATGTCACAAGCCTCCCAGCAACATATCATGATTACCATCTTGCCGACAATATCCTCATCCGCATCATCATCAGCCCTCTCATCGCCAAACTCATCACCACCACCTTCCCCATCATCATCATCATCAGCAGCATCATCATCGTAATCATCAACATCATCAACATCATCATCACCACCATCCTCATGATCATCATCGTCACCCTCATCTTCCTCACCACCACCATCATCTTCCTCATCATCTCCATCATGACGACAACCTCCACCATCACCATCACCATCATCACCATCACCATCATCATCATCATCATCAGCATCAGCATCATCATATTCATCACCATCATCAGCATCATCACCATCATTTTCCCCATCATCTCCATCATGACGACCACCACCTCCATCACCATCACCATCATCATCAGGGTCTCCTCTCCTTCGCAACATCCCCTGGCCACGGCCGCCGTTGCCTCGTCGCGATCCCTGGCCACGTCCTCGGCGCGCCTGAGAGCCTTCACCATGGCGGGTGGGGGACCACGGCGAGGGCCCACCCGCCACCGCAGGGAAACAAGACACGAAACAAACGTAAACTCTCCTTCTCCTCCTCGTGGTCCTGGTCCTCCTCCTCCTCTTCCTCCTCCTCTTCCTCTTCCTCCTCCTCCTTCTCGTCCTCCTCCTCCTCCTCGTCCTCCTTGTCCCCCTCCTCCTCCTCCTCCTCCTCCTCGTCCTCCTCCTCCGCCTCCCCCCGCGGGCGCTGGACCCACGACGCCGAGTTCGCCCAGTTCGATCCCATTCGATGTCGTTTCCTTGGCGATCCGATGCCGCCCGATGCGCGCACGGCGCTGCGCGCATCCTGGCGCAGTCGAGATGTTTCCTTTTGCCAAGCCTGGCGCTCCGGTGGACGCCCTCATGGAAGGAAATTACTCCGACTGAAAGATCCCACATGAGAATATGTTCACTTTGCCCTTACCCTTTTCCTCCTCGCCCTGACGGACATTATCCTTTCGCCCGCCGTTTTGTCCTCACCTACTCCCCCTCCTTCTACTTATCCTCCTCCTCCTTTTCCACTTCCTCCTCATCATCACCCCCTCCCTACCCCTTCCCCGTCCTCGATTTTCCCCTGCTTCTTCTCCGCGCGTTCCTCCCCTTCCCACTGGTCGGGGCAAGCAAATGTTTTTGCTCTTGGGCGCCGTCGCCGCCGCGGCCAGAGCGAGCACATTCCCCGACGGCTGGTTCGCGAAGACTTTGGGGCAACCCCGCGGGCCGCTGGGGCGCGGGGGCAAGCGGTCGGGACAGCCCCGCGAACCAAGCCGTTGGGACAACCCCGCGGGCTCCGGGCGGGGCGCAGTCGCGCTCGGGCGGGAGGCAGTACGAACCCAAGCTCCGCGGCGAGCTGCTCAGCCTCATCCCTGGACGTCTCCGCTCTCTTGTCGAACTCCAGGAGCGCCTTCCGCAAGAAGCAGGCGGCCCGCGCTCCAGAGACTCGCGCGAGGGCGGCCGCAGGATCAGCATGTTCCGCGCGCACGCGGCGCGGGAGAGCACGACGTAGACACGCAGCCACCGTTGGTCGTCCGACGTGCCCGCGCGGCCAGCGCCCTCGTCCCTCGCGCAGTCGACGGCGACGCCCGCGCGGAGCGTCTGGCCCTGCGACAGCGCGCAAGCCGCTTGCGCGCTGTCGCAGGGCCAGACGCTCCGCGCGGCGCACGGCGCGCGACCCCGAGCTCTGCCACGTGAGTTCCTGCTCGCCGGGCCTGAACATCAGCAAACTCCGAGCCCGCGCCTCGGCCTGGCCGTCGTCGTCGGCGTCTTCGGCGCCCTGTCGCAGCACCTCGGCAACCTCCTGGTAGATCGGAGACTCCTGGAAGCCGTGCACCTGCAGCCAGATCCCCTGCGGTAGGAAGCGGGGGCGAAAGAGCTGGCCTGCCGGGCACTCCGCACACCGCTGCTCGTCCTCGCGGTGGAACTCGAAGGATGGTGGCCCGTTGCTCCTGCACCAGCCCCAACTTCTTCTTCAGCTCCTCCTGCATGGCCGTGAACCGAACCTCCATGCCGACGTGTGCCGGCAAGACGCCGTGGATGTCCCCCGTTTTGTGCATGTTCGGGAAGTTCAGGAGGCGCCGACCCGCGTCGGGCTCGCCCTGAATCGTGCCGCACTCGTCCACGGCCTGCAGTAAAACGAAGGGCACGCCCAGGCGCCGCGCGTCGCGACGAGCGCGCGCGTTGATCCATCTCGCAAACGTCTCCCAGTAGATGCCCATGCCGTAGCCGAGCCGAAGTTTTCGCGCTGGAGGCTTAAGCTTGGGCCCAAAAGCGACGACTGTTACACGTTTCGGATGACCCGCTCGGATTACCAACATGAATTGCGGGACCCATAGGGAGGGGGCTCCCGCCTGAAACTTCCTCACAATTCACTCGAAGACGAGGCTCCCGCTTGATACTTTCCCCCAAATTCAAGCCTGAGGAGCCCAAAAGTGACGACGGTTACAAGAATCCGATGACCCGCTCGGATCACCAACATGATCCGCAGGCCCGATAAGGGGGGGCCCTCCCGCCTGAGACTTCCTCGCGATTCACTCACAAACGAGGTTCCCGTTTGATATTTCCCCCAAATTCAGGCCTGAGGAGCCCAAAAGTGACGACGGTT